GAGAAAGTTGCCACAGCCAACGGCGACGCAGACGACCCGAGTGACAAGCAGACGACACGCAGACGAAATCCGTCGACAGCAAGAGTGCTGTGGTTACGCAACCGCGTTTTTTTTTTTTCTCATTGTTTGCGTTCCTTTTCAAACCAAAGTTGCATTAAAAAAAGATTATGTTAATTTTAGGAGACCACGGTGGTCGCGAGCAGACTTAATAAGTAGGTAGCGTCATCTATCAATACGTGCGCCAAACGCGCCCCGCCACTCTACTCAGTCGTCTGCGTCGCCGTCGACGCTGGAAAGTTTTTCGGCCCTATATCTTACAGAAAGGGAGCTACGCTTTGCAATTTTAGAAGATAAAACCGACTTGTGAAATACACGTTTGACGAAAAGTTCAGATTGCTACGTGCAGGCAACAATTTTTACGGCCCACTTTAGATCCAGCCTGGTTATTTCGGACACCCTTTACAATTGCAATAACTTGTGGCGCCATCTCCAGACGGCGCCACAATCTCCAGACGGTGCGTCCGCCTGCTCGCGGCGTCTATCGGGACATGGCGCCACAAGTTAATAGCGTCGCTAACTCTGTCGTCTGCGAACGCGCCCAACGTGAACTTTGGAACGTTTGTTGGCCTCATTTTGTACAGGAAGGTAACTATGCCTTGGAATTGCCGCACGATGAAACTGGCCTGCTCAGTGCACATTCGGTGAAAGTTCCGAGCTTTCCATGTGCAGCCGCCATTTTCTTGACGATCCCCTTGCTCCTCCCTATGCCTCGTGCAGCGCACGAATCGTGCGCAATATTTTCTTCTTGATAGGACAATCAGTATAGCGAGTTTTAGAACAGCGTACGACAAAACCACACGTTCACTCCGACACCTGCAACTCTTTGTTCGAATTGAAAACAAGGCACCGTATAACACGTTCGCTTTGACACCAGCAACTCTTTGTTCAAATTGAAAACAAGGCACCGTATAAGCTATTCTTCAACACTTCTGAAGTGTGTAGCAGACGGTAACACTGTCAAAAAAAAGCCATACTTCTGGTTTCTAGAGGCGGGGCAAGCAGCTGCCGCCCGCTATTGGCGACGTGAGCGCTCGAAAACGTCGCTGTGATCGGCCTTCTACGATTGGCCGAATGCTGACTATGACGTCAGCAAAGGACTTCTCTTCCGACGGAAATAAGAGTAATTGAAGACCTTCAATTTTGACTGTGTTGACAGTGCCGCTTTGAAAGCGCACTGATTTCAAGCTTTGACCACGCTAATTCAGAACACAATCGAGCTTGCTGTTCGCAAGGTAATGACGTCTCGAAAGGGAACCACAGGAGGGCGCCACCAAAACATCTCGCCGCTAATAAAGGGTACAGCCGCTAGCATCCATCCATCCACCTAATTTGTTCCATAAACAGAAGGCTCGCCAAACCAGTGGAACATCCCTTATGCCGTACACACGCACGTAGAAATCGTACGGCTGAACAGGACCCCTGAGATTGCTGGTGCGCAAACAGCCCTCAGCTCCTCGGGACGTGTCGAGGACGTTCCCTTGCGAGGCGTAGGACATCGCGCGCGCGAGTCTCACGACGCATTAGGCGATGCCACGAAATGCGCGTCGACGCAACTACCCGGCGGCACACGGCGTCGCCGCCGAACAAAAGGAAAATAAACTCGGAAAAGCGCACGAAAACAGGTTACGAGTGCGTCGGGGAATTCGCTCCTCATTTCTGTGGGTTGATCCTTGAGCACAGCCGTCGTGCGATTTTTTTCGAATACGCCACAACTGCCGAAAAATAAAACCTATACATTACTGCAACCAGGGAAGTCTGATGTTTGCACCACCAGCGACTATTTTCTCTGCATGCAATACCCTTTTTCTGTTTCTTCCCGCGCCTCGTCTTGTCTCTAGAGCCTATTTTAGACGGAATGGGTGGACAATGTAAACTTGTTCTACCCACTACTGTTATACTTCGATGAATGTATTGATCTTGTTCAAGTGTGCTTGCAGGTGAGGACTCCCGATGCTAAGCATTGCATTCCTGACGGATGCGAATACCCCTTTGAGCTATTAAAATTCCGCTTTCTGTTTCGTTTTCGTGTTGCCAATGTTGCCAATTGTAGCGGGGGTCCAGGACCTGTGAAGTTGCATGCCAAACTTTTTTTTTTTTTGTTTCTTCAACTGGACATCCTTCGTCACGAATGGGACAGAAGTCTAACTCTACACGAAACTCGTGTAGAGTTAGACAGCACTGCTGGTCGTCTTGTGGCAGATTTCGTTGCTTGGCACAGCCGTTCTCAGTCGTGTTCTTTTCCCTCAACGTTGGTATGTGTGAAGATGGAAGCTTCAGCGAGTTAGCGATGTATGACAGCAGCAACAGCGCAAAATAGACAAGGACAAATTGTGCAGGAAGGAAGGACACCGGACATACAAGGGTGTTGATTTGCAAGTCATGGTTCTTATACTTCTTTGCGATAACTTTGCTTCCAGCAAAAAAAAAAAAAAAAAAAAAAGCAGCCTTAAAAGAAACACACACACATTTAGCCATTTAAATTCTTGGCGGAATCCCTCTTAACGGAAGTTTTAAAAAGACCTTCGGAAACAAAAAAACCACCACCACCTTGTTTGTCCTTATGTGTGTCTCCTTCGCGTCCCTGTGCTGTTGCTGCTATTGTGGAAAACACCTTTTCACGTGGAACAACATGTCCCGGCTCATCGCATAACAAACGATCTACAGGGTATCACGAAAGAAAATTGACAGGGTATTTTCCAGCGCTAAAATAAACTATAGGCAACATTGAACGCTCATTCTTCGCTTAAAGGTAGCGCTAGACGTCACAACCAGATGCCAAAGTTTCAGCCCGATCAGATACATAATTCAAAAGTTATGCGATTTTCTGAAAATTTCAACGGGAAAAAGGAGCCCATTTTCGTCTGTTTTCGGTTTCTGGTGCCATAGAGCCCCACGTATTCGAAAACTCTTCAACACCACATCGACCCTTGGACAATCCCGTCCTTAGCTACACGTGTATACAACATGTCCCAATGACAATAACCAGAGACATGGGAACAAAAAAGGTCACCAAACGATACAGAAAGAGAAAAGGGCCACAGACAAGATCTCGAACCCTTTCACGGGCTCTTTGCTTTTTTTATTTTTTTCGTGCCCTTGTCCTGGGTTAGTGAAACCACGGTACACTTGCAACGCATTCGCAACAGAGGCCGTACCACACCCAAGTCCACAAACTATAAAAAAAGGAAAGGAAAAAAAAAAAGGAAAGGGGGGGGGGGGGGGGAGGGAGAGGAGGTTTACGTGAAGAACAATTGCAGCCTCCCCAGCGCTGGACTCCACCTGGGGATCTTTTGAGAAAGAGGAACCGAAATCTCGGCCACACAGCGGGGCGCCTTCTCCGCAACGACGCCAACGAGACTCCGTCAGATTGCGGGCGGGTCGGTAGGGATTCGAACCCACCACCTGGGGTACCCGCAGGCCGGCGCCGTGCTTCGGACCCACCGAGGAGGCTCTCCTTTGAAAAGAGCAGCCGATTCAGCCAGTAGTGCGGAGTCGAACCGCGTACCCCGCAAATCAACGCCTGCACTCAAGTCTGAGAAAAATACAGAGGGAAGTCGGCCAGTGGGGACGGAATGCCGGGTGAAATTATTCCGAGGGGCAGGTCCCAGAACTATCGTTCGATCGCTACCCGTGTTCGGTTCTGTCAGGGAACAACTCCCATTTCTCAAGACATCGTCTAAGCTAAGCAAGAACGCCCTCCAAAATGGCCCGATCCCCATCAGGCATGTCGCAACCCCCGTGAAAAATCCAGACAACAAGCACGAGACGCCAACGCCCCTGCCGGCGCGAGATTTATGCGTTGCGGTTGGCCATGCGCTGCCGTGAGTCACGCTGCAATGCCAGTGGAATCCGGTGATGACGCCATCGTAGGCCTGGCCTTCATCACGGACCCGAACGAAGATGCTGCGACCGGCCATCCGTATCAGACGCCGTGGTTTGAAATAAACAGTCCGCGGCTCCGCGCAAAGGTGGGTAACCCTTTCCCGGCTTTTGACGGGCGCGTAACGTCCGAACAGGAGAAGGAAAAAAAACCGGCTCCGCGACAACTGGCGACAAAGCGCAGCGTCCCGGCGAAGGAACACCGGCTGACCGAACGACGCACAAAAGATGGAGGGCGCCAAAAACAAAGGCGGCCAGCCACGATGCAGCAACGAACCAGGAGCAGTGACCTCCGAGAACGGAGCCAAGTCGGCCAAGAAAAAAAGAAACGTAAAACATAAAAACGGCGTGCATAAGAGAATAAAGAAAAAAAAATTCAACGGATAACATTTAGGAACCCGCCGGGAGCTCACCCGGCCATCTTTAAAAAAAGAAAAACCTACCCGTCCAAAAAAATAAAAACAGCAACGACGGGCAAACTTTATGGAGTGGAATCTTCTTTCGGAGTCAACGTAGCAGAGCCGCACACAGACGACAATGCACGGGCCGGTTGTTTGACGGGAGGTGTGGGGCCCAATGGCGACAACGCCATTCATCGCCGCTGCCACTCGGACCGGCGGACAACGCCCCGGTCGAAGGAACCCGAGATCGGCCCCAGACTGCCGCCGAAACGTCGCCAAGCGCCAAAAGGAATGCTGCCGGGCGGCGCGCCAGCATATTCGCTATCAAAACAACGGCGTCGTCGATAAACGCGGGCGGCGGACTTGTCTTGGTTGGGCGTGGTTAGTTCGGAGGGGATGCAAGGCGTACGGGGGGGGTTGGCGTGCGCCGTCGACGTGCCAGGACACAGCGAGCGCTCGCACCCCGAAAAAAATAACGAGTAAGACTCCGGTCTGCATTCTCGATCGAAAAAGGGGGACCTGTCTTGGCACTCACCGAGCGTCAGGCCTAACGGCGCGAGCGGCCGGGACTTGTTGCTGAACCCAAACAAAGAAGCAGACGACGGCCGCGGGCGCAGCCGTCGTTCCGAGCGGACGGGAGCGTCCGAGGCTGTTGCTTACCGTTTGTGTTCGTCAGAGACGACGGAGGATTCGTCGGTCGTATCCCAAAGGCCGGTCGAACGCCAAAAAAGGGCTGGGTCTCTCACACCAAGCGGCCCGAACACAACGAACTGCCAAGATCGTCTGCGAACGGGGAACGGAGGAGCCGGCGTGAGCAAAGCGCGTATGGGAGCGAGAGTAGCACGCTTCGCCGCCGCCGCCGCCGCCGCCGCCGCGTGCCGCGTCGCGTCGCCGCGCCGCTTTCAAGCGCTAGGCGGCGGTGATACGAGCGTACGAGATCCGACGGCATGACTCACCGGAAAGCGGAGCGCGGAGCTGGCGGGAGCTTTTGCCGCTTTTCATTCGACGCGTGCGACAGTCCTGCCGATGTGTCGTCTGCTGCGGTACCGCAGGCATCTGCTCCGCTTCGCTTGTCGCCGGTACCGTTGCTCCCGGTTCCACTACACAGTACAATCACGCGTCCCTCCCACGACGTTCACGCGAAAGCGCGTCGGCGTCACCGTCGCCGCAGCTCTACCCGTGGCTACAGACGACAATAGCGTGGCGATTAAAAACACTGGCTATGTGACGGAAGCCCACCCCTGACTCATTCATCCATCATGGCGTGTTTGTGCGCTGTATTCGACGCGCCTACGCGTGTATGGAGACTTCGGTTATTGTGGTTTACCACCATTTATGAGACGACAGACAGCGGACGTGATTTATATTAGAGCGTTATTCGGAGCACGTGCTTAGTATGCTGGTGGGGTCGCCGAAGTTTACTACAACATTGTTAATGGTGTGAGAACAAAAATACAGGCTAGACCCGAGAAATATGGGCTGGTAATATGACGACACACATACACCTTATATGAGTTTAACTTACCTAGCTGGCTGCCTTCCTTTTTCTCTTTTTCCCTCCTTTTGGTGTTTCTGCTTTAGGTGCCTTCCTATGTGCAGTTCATTTCGCTGACTGCTATACTCCGTTTCACCTTATGTTGTACAGCAGACAAAGCTAGAAGCGCGAGCTCATAGCGTCGGGAGCTACTCTTAACGCACGAGAGCTTGTGCCGCCGAGTTGTGCCCCAGAGCAAAGAGCTCGCGCTTGTAGCCTTTCCTGTGGTACATCATAAGGTATTTTTTTTTATTTGATGTAGAGAAAGGAAATCAGAGATGTTAGCCTGGAGTTGATCTTCTGACTGGCTACTCTGAGTGGGGAGGGGAGTTAGGGAATGAAAGATATAAGTATGAAAAGAAGGCGTTCCATCTCAGGCCCACACACACACTCACACGCACGCGCAGTATATAAATTAGAAAAAAAAAATAAAAAAAAAGGCGGACAACTTTTGCGACCTTAGGTCAGAGTCTTTTGTCAAGGCCTGTTGCTGACAGGAACTTTAGAAGGGCATTCGTTGACTTCGCAGCGTGGCTTTCGTCATCCCATGGTCCGAGAAGATGTTGAAGAGTGAGGGCTGATCCAGTTGTCTGATGAATGTCTTTGTAGAGCTGGTGCCGATTATCAGTATACTTAGGGCATTCAAGTAATACGTGTTTGATGTCTTCAATAGTTCCGCATAGGGGACAGTTGGGTGATTCGAGCTTTCCGATGAGATGAAGGTAGTAGTTTGTGTAAGACACTTTTAGGCGCATTCTATGAAGAACTGCCTCCCGTCGCCTCTTGAGACCGCGTGGAACTTGGAACGTTAAATTTGGGTCAATTATTTTTAAGGACGAGCTCTGGTGGGCGACCGCTTTCCAATGACGCGCTGCAGTAGACCTCCCCAGGAGTGCGACAACTGCACGAATGTCTGATCTTGTAAATGGAGCCATAACTTGCTGGACGAGGTCATGGCCACGTGCAGCCATAGCATCAGCCATTTCATTTCCTTGTAGGCCACAGTGGCTAGGTATCCATTGGAAAGAAATTGAATGTCCTAAAAGGTTAGCATCTGCATGAACTTTTTTTTTTTTATGTAGGGCACAATAATGCCACTAAATAAGCTACGCTTCAGAGTAACGACACTCGCTCATATTGTGGCTTAAAATCATGGTTGCCAGTTGCCAGCCAGGAAACGCTTTTCCGTCCTCCGCAAATGTCCAAGACGGTTCGCGGCAGAGCAGAGTAATATTACATGAGCTTCCTAACACTGAATCTAATGCTGATGATGTTGCACCTTTGAATCATGACGATCGGCAGTTGCGTCAACTCTACACAAGCACCAAGATGGCTGCGCTCACAATAATATCGGGGAACGGAGTGCCGATACTCTAAGGGTAGCTCATTTAGTGGCCCCAGGGCACATCTCGGCAGCACAGCTGCCAACGCTCTGGGCTCGCGTTTCTAGCCTTTACCGCGGTACAACATAAGGTGGCGCCATATTTCTAGGTGATGTCTACACTTTGTTTCACTTTATCTGGGAGTGAAGCCAAAGCTAGAAGCGCGAGACCAGCGCCTTTTGCGCTTCTCCCCAGCTCGCGCGCTCGAGCAAAGCCTGAACGCATGGAGCTTTCGTGCTCGCGCTTCCAGCTTTGCCTCCGCTCGTACATAAGGTGAAACGAAGTATAGAGCGCATGCTCTGAACGAGCCCACATTGATAGGCTGCTAAGACCGGCAATCTTGAGGGTGCGAAATGCACGTTACAAGAGAACTGTAGAAGCTCGCCATCAGCACGCATTCAGCGGTCGTGCACACAGCTATGGCCGCCAGTGAATACTTTCTCTTCACATCGTTGCACAAACAGGATACAAAAAAGAAGAAGAAAAAACAATAGATTATATGCTGATTATATTCACATATTTACAATATGTGAATATAATCTATATATATATGTATGTACATAATCTTTTTCTCTTTTTTTTTTGTCATATTTATATGGTGCTTATAATTTCAATCAATGGTCTGGAGTAGCCGGCGCTGATCCTGCAGCTGCTAAAATCTACACTTTGAACGTTTTGTTTTAATAAAGATCTATTCTCTCTCTCTCTCTCTCTGATTATATTCAAAACGAAATCCCATCTACTGTATGTATGGCCAGTTATGTTTCCGCTATAATGAAGGGTTCCCATACTGATAGTTTCGCGCAGGAGACATTAGACAGTTTTAGTAGATCGTTTCGATACCCCTGATAACGATATATACGAAGCATACACCTCAAACTCCGTTCACGCGTCCGCGTAAAGGTACCTTTAGCAATTAGGACCCTCAGCTAAAGGCACCAGTAGTAAATGGCGTTCAATATTACACCGTGAATAAACAGAGGATGCATGTATGCATATATGATACTGGCCAAAAACTTTCTATCGAAGGGAGCATAAGCGGTCACATTCCCAGAAACGTTTTGCACTTTGAACGGAATAAAAGTGGGTCATTATGGTGATAACGCGATCAATTCAAAGGAGCGAGTGAGCTGTTAGACTGGTGGCAGCTGTTAAAACTCGTTTGCTCTATTGATAACTCCTAGTTAGCTCAGGGGGTATAGAGCGCTCCACTGGAAATGATAAGGTGTAAAAAAGTAAAACGGTAAAAAAAAAAAAAAAAAAGAAACAGCGCGGAAGACGACACGGACAAAGGTGTACACACACAGAGCGCCGACTTTCAACTGTTTATTTTGAAAAAAGACGCCCACCGGCGTGGTCACATACACCCAAGTACGTCACATTCCATCACCTGATCATCACGTCGAAAACTGCTGATAAAGACACAATGTGACGTATTGGGCTAGTTGGTTTGAGGTGAACATCTTGGGAAGAAACAGCGGCAAAGAAACTCGGACAAGAGTAAAGGAACAAACACGACAGGACGGCGTTGAACTATACTTCATTTCAGCTTCGCTTCGAGCGCGGCCGATGTTATGAGCCGAAGGGCCAATCAAACAGCGAAAGAGGCACAATGTCATGGCGTGCACTCTGCAGTTGATAGGACCAGCCGGTATTCGCCGCCTCTCTGTGCGTGCACCTCCGCCGGCTAATCTTATCAAGCGCAGAGAGAACGTCATGACGCTGCGCTTTTTGCGGTGTTTGATTGGCCCTTCGGCTCATAACATCGGCGGCGCTCAGACCGAAACTGAAACGAAGTATAACAACTGTTGTTTATTACACAAAATTGGAAGGGAAAAAACAAGAAGCATCTTAATCAGATAAAAATATATGGACACAAACGCGGCCAACTAAGCAGCATATTATGTCACGATAGGCCAAATCAGTGGCTACGTAATGCCCGTCAGTCGATCGCAGGTACCCGAACTCTTTGTCAGATAACGCCACTGACGGTTCGCTGACGCATCTCCCGCGAAGTTCTGAGATAAAAAAAAAAAAGGGCCTCGATAATTTCCCTTGTCGCTCTGTCTCTATGTCTATCCAAAACAGTGACTTCACCTAAATTAGGCTGGCACTTGCAGTCCCTGCAGTGTCAAGGTTTACACTGCAGGGACTGCAAGTGCCAGCCTAATTTACGGCGAATTACGTAATTCCGCGAAACGGCGCTGTTTTTAAGTTCAGAGTGGCGTATTGATTCACGCGATTTATCCCTTTAAATATTGTTTCTGTGTATTTGCGAGCAAAAAAATTGACGTCTCCGTGGTGCGGTCAAAACGTGGTCGACATTTATAGACAACGAAAAAGGGCGTTAGACATTCGTTGCGGTACCCCTTTAAAAGTGCCTCGACCCACTGTACCAGCACCGGCCGTCGCCGGGGCCTCAGGAGGAGCGGCCCCGGGAGATTGAGGCTTCCGGCGCACGTCCTGTCGGAACCTATCGGCCCCGCGTTCTTTCCGGAGGAAGCGACGCTAGCCCTCGGCGCACACCCTGCACCCTTCCGGTGCGAGCGCTCCGCCGAGACGTCGGTCCGTACGCGTCTCGACGGTGCGTCCCCGCCAAGAAAGTCACGTCGTCTCGGCCCTCAAATACTTCAAAAAAAAACAACCAAAACAACAACGCCAAAGCAAAGCTTGCGGGTTTTCCGCGAACTCAGTGCAACTTTTCCGACTGAAAAAGGACGAGACAAAAAGCATTACCATGTACCTTTTCATTCGATGGTAACGCAACCAACTCAAAAAGAAGAGACAAAAAGCATTACCATGTACCTTTTCATTCGATGGTAACGCAACCAACTCAAAAAGAAGAGACAAAAAGCATTACCAGGTACCTTTTCATTCGATGTCCTAGGTAATGCAACAAACTCAAAAAGAAGAGACGA